TATTTATATTGTGTTAAATAAATCTTGTGAAATGAGCCCTAGATGGCAACAGAAAGTCATAATACATGAGCTCAGACACGCTGGGGCATATGTGTCCCTTTCTGATTTTAGGTCAAAGTCAGATTAGAAGGGTTTATGTAATATACTCTACAAAATATTATTTTAAAATTATTCTCACAGGCATACACCCACACATACATACATGTGCGCAGAAGGAAATTAAAGCAGCTGCAGATATAAATGACAGTAATTGCATTTAATGTAATGCATATAATGAAGATTCACATCAGTATTAATAGCATATCTCATATGCAGATATTATTAACCACAGAGAGCTCAGGACTGGTTTTCTGCTTGTCATGTGTGGTTGAATTTTAAGATGTTTCGCTGGCATTTCAATGCTTTCAGAAAGGCTTTAAGCCACAGTTGGACATGTCATTTAAACCAATAGGACACCTCAAAGAACTGCAAAGGTATGATTAAACGTTCTTGGCAAATAACATGTCACATGTCGTAATCCCCGCTGGCGAATGTGGCTTCAAGCTTTCAACACTTTAAATCGGTTGAGAAATCCCCAAACTTTTATTTGGATCATTGTGAAATACTGTAGACTTTGTTGGTGGATTAAATTAGATTATGTTGCATTTAAAATTAAACTCACTCTAAAAGAGACTGATACAGTGCTTATTTTGTTTCTTGACTTTATATATATATATATATATATATATATTATTTAAAAATTGTGGTTTGAAAATGTGTACCGATAGGTTTACGCCCATTTTGGTTCTGCATGTGCACTTCTCAGTAGCCTGATTGACGTTTCCATATTATAATATTATTATTATATCTAATAATAAGATACAGTACATTAACTTGAACTTATTAAAGTGTTTCAATAAACCATTCATTTTTCTAAATTCTTAAAAAGTGCATGCATATTGCTTTAGTAATATTTATTAGGAATTTTCTGATTAAAGTTCCAACAACATTTAACAGATTTCTTGAAGTGACATGAACGTGAGCAAAACATCATATTTTACACACAGCCCACGTATTGTATCTGCAGAGCACCCTGCTTTCTTTCCTTTAGTAGGGGCGAAGGCAGATGAGGATGGACAATTAAAAAAATACGAAGCACCTTCCTGATAATGGTGACATTGATTATACGTTGAGTTGCAGTCAACAGGATCGTCACCTGACCTGGGACTTGATGCTTTCCTGTGCCTTGTGTTCTGCTCCCTGACTACTGCTTTATCAGGTAATCATTCCTGAATCTGTATTAAATGTGAGGAATGTAACTGATCTTCATTCAGTTTAGCCTGTTCCCACTGAAACACACACACACACACACACACAAACACACACGCACACAACTACACATTATGTTTATGAGGAAGTGACAGACATTGCTATTTTGTGATATTTAAAAAGAGTAAGGTCTACATAAGGTGAATGTGCAGCTTTAAAGACATCTTCATAAAAAAAATCAAAAATCAAAAAATCAAAATCATAAGGGTCATTCTGTCAAATCAACAAAATTTCAGAAACTTCCCTGGCTCAAATGTTTGATTTTCTAATATTTTTTTTCTGAAGACAGATAAACCTGTATAGTGATGAAAGTCAAAATATTAAATGTCATGGATGAATATTTACTGAGTAATCCACTATTACTAGATTTTTCATAAAAAAAATCAAAAATCAAAAAATCAAAATCATAAGGGTCATTCTGTCAAATCAACAAAATTTCAGAAACTTCCCTGGCTCAAATGTTTGATTTTCTAATATTTTTTTTCTGAAGACAGATAAACCTGTATAGTGATATAGTGAAATATTAAATGTCATGGATGAATATTTACTGAGTAATCCACTATTACTAGATTCAGAGACAAATTACGGGAGGGTAAAACTTACTTCACTAAGATGGCAGCATTATAATGTTATTTTTACACACAGATTGATAGGTTTATTAGTAAAATCAGTTGACTTTAGCAATCTTTGTTGCCTTATGTGCAAATGGTGACTATGCAAAAATGGGCAAAGAGCACTTTGTTTTTTTTCTCCAAAGTTTGCATGCCTATAACTAGTATTAAAGATAGCTTAATGCCCTTTTAGATATTGGATCTTAACAAACTTTCCTTTCGCCATCTTCATTTTTAAGGCCCTATATGGTTCGATTCCAGCGATACTGGGATCTCAATATGGCTCCAGGGGTAAATTGTTCAATTATACACATTTTCAATGGTCAAAAACCAAATGTGGATGACTTTGCAAAAATAAAATGCTTCTTTTATTTTAAAGAGGAATGTCTGAAGAACAACTAATGTTGAAACTAGAGGTGTATCTTGTTTCCTTCTGTCAAAACAACTACATTGAACACACCTCTGAGTGCCATGAATATTCTTTTTCCAAAGTTTGCATGCCTATAACTGAAGAAGTATTAAAGATATTGCTGTATGATTTTAGATTCTAGTTCTTAATAAACTTTTCTTTTGGAATCTTCATTTCCAAGAACCTACATCATTCAGTCCCAAATATATGGGGGTCGCAAGGAGGCTCCATATTCAAATTGTTGAATATAACCCATTTTCAATGGTTATACAGCTGATACTTAATGTTTTAAAGGGGACATATCTGAAGAATAAGTAATGCTGAACTTAGAAATGTATCTTGTTTCACTCTTTCAAAACAATTGAAAAGTGCTCTTTCCCCAATTTTGAATGTTCACCATTGGCACATAATGCAGTAAAGATTGCTAAAGTCACCAGATTTTACTAATAGACCTACCAATCTCTGTGTAAAAATAACATTATTATGATGCTGCCATCTATCTGAAGTCATTTTTACCCCCCTATAATTTGGCTCTGAATCTAAGGTGAAGATTGCCATATTGACCCCCCTCTTCAAAAAAGTGGATTACTATATTTGGTTTTTATCAGTTGTTTGGACTCTCATTCTGACGGCACCCATTCACTGCAGAGGATCCATTGGTGAACAAGTGATGTAATGCTACATTTCTCAGAATCTGATGAAGAAACAAACTCATCTACATCTTGGATGGCCTGAGGGTGAGGACATTTTCAGTAAATGTTCATTTTTGGGAGAACTATTCCTTTAAGAATTACTTTAAAGTAGAAAGATTGCTGGCAACAGTTCACCAGAAATTATTAGTTTCAGTCAGGACAATGATATCAGAGAAATAAATCAAATAAAATCAGAGAGAGATAGAGATGGATCAATTCACGGAAATTCAGGTTCCTCCATGGAGACTGTAATAAGAATACTGTAAGCTAATTAACAATTTCTGCAAGCCAAGATGGCCAGATATTACCAGAATACCGTCCTACTGAAGGAAAGCCACAGCCGCTGAAGATGACCGATTATTATTCTTCTAGTGTCCAACAACAGCATTAAAGAAATGTCTTCAACTCTAGATAGTATTTGTAGAGTGTAATTGGTTTTCTCTGTGATTGACGTAATGACTTGCGCAATAATGTTGCCAAACCTTGTTGGAGAATATTGCAATATGTCCTTTTTTCTTTCACATATCAATGAAAAGATTAACTTAGGAAATCAATATCATTCAAAGTCCCACTTAACTTCAGTTATTAAGGTTTGAAGGTTGAGGAGAGCAGAGATCATATATGAACACGGTAAGTGTTGGTTTATTTGTGTGAATAATTGAAATGTGGACATTCCTTTACTGGGGAACATTTAATGTACAGTATGTTGAAAATACGTTAATGCTCAGGTTCCCTAAAACTTTTTTTTTTTGGCAATTTATCTTTTTTAATGATGATAGATGAAGTTTTTGGACTAAAAATAACTCTTTCAGCTGATGTTTTCACATTTTCATTGACACTGTTAGCCTGAAGCTGTTCATGAGTTGCAAAGCTCTTCATCTCTGAAACTCTTCAACGTTATTGTTTTTCAGCTTTAAAATACATTTACTGCTGTGACTGTTCATAGGCCTTTAACAATGAAAACATACTGCTTTGGAATTTGTTCTCATGAGTCACTGCATCCAAAACGGAACGTGTAAACAGCGTCGCTGAAGATAAACTTCATTTTATTTGTGTGTCTAACCATGCTTATAAAATAGCAAGTAATAATATTAATTTATTTACCTTGGAAAATGAGTCAACACAGAGTTAGTGTAACTAGAATATAAACTTAAATAGGATTAAAAAAGGATTAGGACTTTGCCTCCTCATTTCAAAACACCACATTGTGCCACTGCAGGAATATGTGATGGAAACAATTCAAATTTCTCTACCAGTCTGTGCAGAATAATTTCCCTAAAACTAGGTTCTCAGGGTGTATTTTTTGTTTTTCTTTTGCAGTATTGTGTTAGCTGTGGTTTCTTCCAGCCGATGTTTCTGACACTTTGTTGTTACAGTATGCAGTCTGTCACGTTCTATTTTCTTTTCTAGTGTTTCTACAGTATTATCTGTATTTCTCAGAGTAGTTTATTTGCCAATAGCCTATGCATCTTGGCTACACTCTAAAAAATGCTGGGTTAAATATAACCCAGCGCTGGGTTAAAAAGGGACAAACCCAGCTATTGGGTTGTTTTGACCCAGCAGTTGGGTTGTTTTGACCCAGCAGTTGGGTTGTTTTGAACCAGCAGTTGGGTTGTTTTGACCCAGCAGTTGGGTTTGTCCCTTTTTAACCCAGCGCTGGGTTATATTTAACCCAGCATTTTTTAGAGTGTACAAAACACAATTTTAAAAGTTTTGCCCAGGATTAAAGACCTTGAACACACTGACCTTTAGTGACAACATAACAGGGGTAAGTTGTCACAGTGCAACCGAACCTACCATTACAACCACGAAGCGTAAAACTATGCATGAAACTAAAACGTGTCCATCAGAAGACGGGACGAATAAATACGCTAGTTTTCAAGCATCATCATAACGTGAACGACTGAACTTTCCTACACAGACCTCTACGCATGCGCATGCGCAGTCGGACAGTGTTTAGTGGGTACACTCTGTGCAGTACAGTGATGCGAACCACTGAAAGAGCTCCATGAAAACAGCGAGGGAAAGATACTGATGTTATTGAGAGTCAAAAGAAGCGACTGTTTCTGTTCTGGGCGCTTGAAGGAGACGCTAAAATCACTGAAGTCATCTAACGGCGCCTCCCATTTGAGGAGCAAAGACGCCCGAGAGCGCACACACACTTAACAGCGCAACTTTACGCGTAGGATGTGACTGTACCGCGCGCTTGATCTGGGGAGAGGGGGGGACTATCCGGACAATCACATTCACTTTACGGACTATCTTTGTGCTTTTAACTATATCTAGTTACGTGCGTCCTGGTAAGTTGATTTAAGTCTGAAATGTTGATGATGCCTGAACATGTTGTCTATAGGCTGCGCACTGCGTTTTGAGACCGTTTACATTAAATTCGGAAAATAATGCATACATTATTTCTTAGTATTTTGTTCCCTTAACTTTGCTATTTCTGTGCGAAACACTGCGCTTTTCTTTTTCATAAAGGGCTGTTAAACTCCTGTCGGGTGAGAACATTCAGATTTCAGCTTCTTGTTGCCAGTTGTGCAAGAGCTAATCCGTTAGGTGCTGATGTTTTGGTTAGTTGGTTTGTTTTAGTTATGCTGTTGACATGACGCTTTTATCTACAGGTTTAAGCTGGTATGGTCTTAAGCTGGTTTTTAACGGGTTGACAACTGGCTTTCCGCCAGACCAACCAGCAAACCAGTTTAGGTTTGATTGATTGAATGGCTTTTAGGTCAAGGAAACAGTGCTTATGAAGAAAACATTCTGTGGTTTGAACCTGACACTTTCACTTGCCACTTTCATCTACCCATAATATCATGCAGGAAAAAAATGACTAAGACTAAAATGTTTATCTGGACTCCCAGCCTGGCCAACCAACTTTTCATCTAACTGGTGATTTTGCTAGAACCTCTCTAAAACCAGCAAACAGAACCAAGACCTGCAAACCAGCTGGTTAAAGTCTGGAAAACTCCTCATCACATATATATTAATGATAGTGGCAATTTGCAAGGCAAATGTAAAAGATGGTGAATTACAAATAGTCACCATCGGTTGCCGCAAATGCAAACATGTCAGGTAAAATGTAAGTATAAGGTTTGTAACTCTTTAAACGTAAAGTTGATTTGTTTATTACTATTATCACCATCAGAATTATTATTATTATTTAGCAGTATAATAATCTTATTTTTATGTGCAGTCATCAACAATATTCCAGAATAATTCTTACTGTATTCTTACTGTTTTTCTGCCATACAGTAAGAATTATTCTTACTGTATGGCAGAAAAAATGTTACCTGTAAAATAAAGTAAAAATTAGAGCTACTGTTTTATTTACTGTATCTAGTCAAGTTGATTTAGATGGTACCACATTCAGCACCTTTTTAGGTTAACCTACACACACATATATATATATATATATATATATATATATATAGTATTTTAAGGACATTCCCACTCAAAGGGAGGTTTAGTCAGATTTAGGCAATGCCTGGGGAAAATATGCTCTTCTAGTACAGCTACACACACACACACACACACACACACAATTACTTCAGCTATGTTTATGCCAGTGAGATTTCAACTTTCCACCCTGCTGCATGGGAAGCACCTCAGAGAAAGTGGAAATGTAACTGTCACTGTGTTTTCCAGGGCTGACAGTGAACTCTGTGTGTGTGTCCCTCCCTCCCTCCCCCTCTCGCTCCACGTCTCTGGCACACGGAATTCATTACTCCTATATTTGTAAGTTATTCCACTCGGATGGGAATTGCCGTAGTAGCCCATCCCCTCGGATAAAGAAATTGCGTGAAATTGCACAATAACTCAGGGATTGGAAACATGTTTTTTTTCTGTTTTATTGAGTGAATTTTGTTGTGTCAGGAATTGCTCTCTCTCTCTCTTTCTCTCTCTCTCTCTTTGTAACTGTAATCAGAAACAGTTTCTTGTTGTAGGCCTTTTTCAAACAATGCACATATAAAAGCAATAAGCCACAAGAGGCTATGATGCATAAGTTAAATACACCAGTGTGCAATACTGTAATTGTATAACGTGACATAAATCTCCTATATAAAATGATCTCAATTGGAATAAAACCAATTCGGAAAAATTCGGAATTCTTTCGAAGTTCTAAAAGGCTGGAATGTGGCGGAATTCCTCATTTTTAAATTCATTGTCGTCTTTGAGAAAGCACACTAAAGACTTCCAGAATGTTCCCGTTTGAGAGCGTTTCCACAGCCTCACAGGTGCTGGAGTGGCAGTGGAGCGCTGGATCAGGGTTTGTTGTTTCTGGAGCGTCCGAGAGGAGCGTGGCTGGACTCCTCGCAGCGGTCACTTTCAGGAAACGCTCCTTCAGGGCTGGAAGAGAGGTGGAGAGTGCTCCGGACGCTGGACTGTGCTGGGCCGTCGTTTCTCATTGTGTGTGTTTCGTGTCTGCATGTGGTGCAGCTTTAGGCCTGCCTGTCTGGTTTTCCCCCTCGGGGTGGTTTGAGTTTGTTTTTTGTTTTTTTATTGTTAAAATAAATAACTATTTCTTCTGCAATTGAGTCCTCGCTTCATCTCTCCACACGCACCGTGACAGTAACCTTATGAAAGTCAGGGTCTGATTGCATCAGTCTTAGATATAACTTATATTTATATCATTTTTTTTTTTTTTGCATCTTCTAGTCTCTAAGCTTTATGTATATACATTTGATGAAATCAATTTTTTGTACACTCATGTGTGACTGTCAGTCTTACAAAAGTCTTCTATCTCGTAACTGTCACAGTATTCAGCGGGTGTGCCCAGGAGGGCCACCAGATGACTGTGTTCTGTGAGCACATGGCTTGTGGTGTGTTTGTTTGTTGCCATGTGCTCTCTCCTGTCTGTTGTCTTGCCCCTCCCATCTTGTTACCTCGTTATTGTTTAAGTTGCTCCACCTGTGTTTCCCTCGTTAGCCTCCTCGTTTGGTTTCCTATTTATTCTCCTGATGTCTGTCATTCTGTGCTGATCCGTCATTTCTCATTGTGTGTGTTTTGTGTCCGCATGTGGTGCAGCTTTAGGCCTGCCTGTCTGTTTTTCCCCCTCGGGGTGGTTTGAGTTTGTTTTTGGTTCATTTTTATTATTAAAATAAATAACCATTTCTCCTGCATTTGAGTCCTCGCTTCATCTCCCTGCACACACTGTGACAGTAACCTTATGAAAGTCAGGGTCTGATTGCATCAGTCTTAGATATAACTGGCTAAAACAGACAGATAAATGTTAGGAAATGGTTAGCAATTCACTCAAGCTTTTAAAGGCACTTCAAATTGCATTGCACAGTTTTAGTCAATGTATTGAAAGGCAATTGCATGGTAATGCATTTGTGGTGAGGATATGAGATGGGATTTTTGAGGTGGCTCTTCCTTTAAGTGTTTTTATTCTTTAAATGTTGAGTTTGCAAATTGGATTCAGCTTCATCTGTGTGTAGTTTTGTTTGAAACCTGTAAAGTGCGACTCATTCTGTTGCTAAAAGATGATTGTGTTAATATTTATTTACAAGAAGATAGAACAGATCTGCACTGAGTTTCAGATCTACGCCTTGTATCCAGGCGTACTAACCTTCAGCTTTGCAGCGCAAGCTTATATACGTCCATTGCGAGATTTGAAGATTTGAAGAATTAATAATTCACTTAATGTTATGCTTACATTGATTCACTGAGGCATTGCAGGTATTGTTTTGCTCATGAAGATTCACAAGTTCTTCAGATGTCAAAAGTCTAGGCCTTTTCCTAAATCAACAATTCACTGCAACATTTGCCTTTGGTCCTGCAGATAAAGGGTCAAGCTGTGCATGCTTTTGTGAGATACAAGAGTGGCAGTTCAAAGAGAGCTTCTTCTCAGACCACGGGTCAGGCCAGGAGATGTGAATGCGGTCAACGTCCCTTTCTTGTTTGCAAATTACTTTCAGTCAGCTTTCCACATCGTGAGCAGCCATATGCTAAGCCATGTTAACACATCTGTTGTGACTAAATGACACATTGCTAGTCATTTTCTTTTTTACTTTAAAGGCCGGGACACACCAAGCCGACGGTCGTGCTAGTTTGTTTGGTGTGTTCCACTCGTTGGCTCTCGTCGGCGGCAGTTTGCCCGATTCGACATGTTGAATCGGCATCGGGACCGCCGGGACCGTCAGCGCGAGTGAGAGCTCTGATTGGATGTTCAGTTTAGCGAACGAGTCAGTGCCCGAGAATTAAAGCGAAAGTGATGAAAACAAGCATGTAAATGAAGGCGGTACAGACAGAGGGCTGTTTAAATGTTATGTGATCTTTCCCAATCATTCTAATACGTGAGTGTTTTCATAACAACATGAGCCGCTTAAAATTATTAAAGTAATCAACGTTACTGATATTCAAAATGGTAAGCTAGCGCTGCTTTGTTTACGTTTCGTATATCTGCGTTTATCTTGTATATATTTGTTTCGGTTTCTCCTTTTGAATGATGATTATATACTATTGATAGCTGTTGAAAAGTGCGACTCATTCTGTTGCTAAAAGATGATTGTGTTAATATTTATTTACAAGAAGATAGAACAGATCTGCACTGAGTTTCAGATCTACACCTTGTATCCAGGCGTACTAACCTTCAGCTAACTCAACAATTCACTGCAACATTTGCCTTTGGTCCTGCAGATAAAGGGTCAAGCTGTGCATGCTTTTGTGAGATACTAGAGTGGCAGTTCAAAGAGAGGTTCTTCTCAGACCACGGGTCAGGCCAGAAGATGTGAATGCTGTCAACGTCCCTTTCTTGTTTGCAAATTACTTTTAGTCAGCTTTCCACATCGTGAGCAGCTATATGCTAAGCCATGTTAACACGTCTGTTGTGACTAAATGACACATTGCTAGTCATTTTCTTTTTTACTTTAAAGGCCGGGACACACCAAGCCGACGGTCGGGCTAGTTTGTTTGGTGTGTTCCACTCGTTGGCTCTCGTCGGCGGCAGTTTGCCCGATTCGACATGTTGAATCGGCATCGGGACCGCCGGGACCGTCAGCGCGAGTGAGAGCTCTGATTGGATGTTCAGTTTAGCGAACGAGTCAGTGCCCGAGAATTAAAGCGAAAGTGATGAAAACAAGCATGTAAATGAAGGCGGTACAGACAGAGGGCTGTTTAAATGTTATGTGATCTTTCCCAATC